GTGAAGGAAGATGAAGGCAAAGGGCATAGAGTATAGGACAGAGGGAGGAAGGGGTTATACGGGGCGGAGAGTAGGGAGGAGTGTGGAGCTGCAAGAACATGGAGGAATGGAGAGAAGGGATGGAGGACAGTGCAGAGGGAGGAATGGAGGCATAGGTAGAAATTTTGGAGGGAGGTAGGAGGTCAGAAGACGTTGGAGTGTGAAGCAAATTTTGTGAAGGGAGGACAGCAAAGGGAGGAGAGATGGAATGTGTGGGAAACAGAGGAAGAGCCAAGAGGGAGGAGGAGATTCCAGGGATGAGAAGATTGAGTGATGTCATAATCAGAGTGGGCGGAGTCAGGAGGGCATGGTCAGCAGGGGGGAAAAGAGTGATGTCATAATAGCGTGGGTGGAGTCAGGAGGCCATGGTCAGCAGGAGAACTTGGGAAGGTCAGTCCAGGTGCGGAGACAGCAGAGGACAGTGGGAGGAGAGCTGAGGGAGGAATACACCACAGGTAAGAGGGAAATGAGGGCGGTAGGTGAGAGAAGGTGAAGAAGAGTATAGAGAATAAAACAGAATTGAGGAACAGGGTGTTTTTGAGATGTTAGAGCAGAAGTAAGGGGGGCAGAGTGATGGTAATGAAGAAGCAAAGAGGGTTGTGGAGGTCCAAGAGAACAGAGTGCCGACTGTTCAGGAGGGCTGAGGGAAGAACTGAGGGAAGAATTGAAATCTGAAATCATAGGTAAGAGTAAAGGGAAAATGGAAGAAGGAATGTTGTAGGGAGGGATAACCAGAGGGAGGATGTTACAGGAGATTGTAGGGAAGAGGAAATTTTGTCGAGGAAAAGTCAGGAGTAACATGGAGGGCAGGAAGTGCCGAGAGAGTAATGAGCAGAGCAGACTGTGATGTCATAATCAGGGTGGGCGGAGTCAGGAGGACATGGTCAGCAGGAGAACTGGGGAAGGTCAGTCCAGAGGTGGAGGCAGCAGAGGACAGAGGGAAGAGAGCCAAGGGGGGAAAACACCACAGGTAAGAAGGAAATGAGGTCGATAGAGTAGAACGAGGGCAATAGGGTGAAGGACGATGAAGGGGCAAAGGGCATAGAGAATACAACTGAGGGAGGAAGTGGTTATACAGGGAGGAATGTGGAGCTCCAAGGTTGTAGGGATAGTTAGGACGTTAGTAGAGGTGGAAAACAGAGTATAGGGCCCAGCCCAGAGGGAGGAAGATTCCAGGGATGAGAGGATGGATGAGAGCAGAGACAAGATGGCAGAGGGTGGATGAGTAGGATGGTAGAAAATGTGATGTCATAATGAGTGGGCGGAGTTAGGTGTGCAGGGTCAGCAGAGGACAGAGGGAAGAGAGCTAAGGGAGGAAAACACCACAGGTAAGAGGGAAATGAAGGCGATAGGTTGTAGAAAGAGATCATAGGGTGAAGGAAGATGAAGGCAAAGGGCATAGAGGGTAGAACTGAGGGAGGTTATACAGGGAGGAGAGTAGGGAGGAATAGAACATGGGCGAATATGCAGAGGGAGGAATGGAGAACATATGTAGGAGAAATTTGGAGGGAGGGATGTAGGAGGACAGATGATTTTGAAGTGTGGAGCAAATTGTGTGAGGACAGCAATGAAATGTTTAGGGCAGAGCCCAGAGGGAGAAGAGTCCACCGATGAGAGCATTGAGAGCAGAGACAGTATGGCAGAGGGTGGATGAGTAGGAGTGTAGAAAGTGTGATGTCATAATCAGAATGGGCGGAGTCAGGAGGGCATGGTCAGCAGGAGAACTGAGGAAGGTCAGTCCGGAGGTGGAGGCAGCAGAGGACAGAGGGAAGAGAGCTAAGGGAGGAAAACACCACAGGTAAGAAGAAAATGAAGGTGATAGGGTGTAGAAAGAGATCACAGGGTGAAGGAAGATGAAGGCAAAGGGCACAGAGAATAGAACTGAGGGAGGAAGGGGTTATACAGGGAGGAGTCTAGGGATGATTTTGGAGCTCTGAGAACATGGAGAGAAGGGCTGGGGGAATATGCAGAGGGAGAAATGGAGAGCATAGGTAGGAGGACAGATTTTGGAGAGTGGTAGGTCAGAAGAGGTTGGAGTGTGGAGCCAATTGTGTGAAGGCAGGATAACAAAGGGAGGAGAAATGGAATGTGTGGGAATGTGTGGGAAACGGAGTAGAGAACAGAACCCAGGGGGAGAAGAGTCCAGGGATAAGATTGATGACAGGATGGCAGAGGGTAGATGAGGAGTGTTGAAAAGTGTGATGTCATAATCAGAGGCGGCAGGGTCCGGGCAGGGTCAACAGGACATAAGTGATGTCATAATAGTTTGGGTGGAGTCAGGAGGGCATGGTCAGCAGGAGAACTGGGGAAGGTCAGTCCAGAGGTGGAGACAGCAGAGGTCAGAGGGAAGAGAGCCAAGGGAGGAAAACACCACAGGTAAGAGGGAAATTAGGGCGATCGGGAAAAGATGGAATGTGCTATCTACATCAGAAGATGAAGAAAGGAGAGCAAAGGGTTTAAATAAAAATGAACAGGGCTTATCAGGAGGATAGTTCTTATTTCAGTGGAAGGGCATAAGTATGAGGAGTTAGGGCATAAGTATGAGGTGCCATACAGTGGGGTCATGGAATAAGCTGGCTCATGGCATAGAGATCAGAGGTATTCAAAGGGAGGAGAAGATAATGTGGAGGGTAGGAGGAGCAGAATTGAAGGAATAGAGGATGGAGTCCAGAGTTATGCCCTAGTCAGGAAGGGTGTTTTCAGGAAAGTGGGATCAGGAGGTGGGTATATAGGATGGATAGTACAAGAATACAGAGGGAGGGCAAAACAAGAGGTAGGAGGAAGGTGGCAGTAGTGGGATAGATCAAAGTTGAAGAACAGAGGGCAAATGGCATAGAAACCTGGAGGAGGAGGAATACACAGGGAGACAAGATAGGAATTTAGAGGAGATTCAAGGGTGTGAAATTGTAGAGTATAGTGGTTTAAGAACAGGAGGTGGAATGGACAGCAGAGCAGAGAGGTCAGAAGATAAGGGGGATAGTGTAGAGAAGCAAAGAGGAAAATAGAAGTGGGGGTGGTAGATGGATGGAAGCAAGGGATCAGGAGAGAAGGTGATGTCATAAATGCAGAGGGTGGAGTTATGGAGGTGGCGTAGGAAGAGAATGGAGGGAGTTAGAGGCAGAACTTGGGGGCAGAGTACAGAAGGAACAAGAAATGGTAAGAGAGCAGAATGATGAGGGAAGAGAGAAGGGAACAGATGAGGGAGGAGAGAAGACAGCCAGGTTGAAGAGGGCAGAGTGTAGATGAGAGAAGTATAGATAACCAGAGGGACTAGGGGTGACTGGGCATGACAATGATGTAATATATTGTCTCATTGCCTGTTCAAAAGAAAGGAATCTGATGTAACAGTCTGCCTGTCCTGTAACTGCTGACAACTTGAAGGCTAGGAGTCGGTGCCTTCACATCTCCAAAAGCTTTGTGATTATCAGATGTTGGAAAAGCTTAAATTTCATCAACAGCCTGGAATGGACTAATGAAAGTGGTGAATGCTTAATGCAGGGATATAGAAGTGGCTTTCAAGACTTAGCACAAATCTAACATGTCGTTTAATGAAGAACAGTTTGAAAAATTTCTAAATAGATCAGAAACAATTAGTGAAATTAAAGATGACTTCATCTTTGTAATTCTTACATCATTAAACAAAATAGTGAGACGAGTAAATGATCTTGATAAATACACTGAAGACTTATTTGGAAAACTAGATAAAGAGATTCATAGCATTTCCTTTAAGCTTAAGATTTTACAAGAAAATATAATCCAGTTAACTGATGCTATTACTCATAAAGTTCCAAATGAAGTGTTATCCATGCAAGTGTGGAAGTCAAGGAAGACTTTTCCAAATTTAACTATTGAAACACAGAAAGTACAACAAGTATACTCCTGCTCATCATTGCCTGTTAACATCTTTGAAAGAAATAATGCTAATATAGCAATACCACTTCTTACAGTGCCTTCATACTACCAAAATGATACGGAAGATTCAAGTTCTTCCGATGGTTCATTCCACTCATGTTTATATTGCTCCAAACTTGTAAAAGAAAATGTATCTGTGAATAAAGAACAAACAAGTGAGAAACACATACAGGACACAAAACTAGACCATGCTAGTGAACCAACAAATATGCTACAGTGTCAAGTGGTGAACGAACATATCTCTGTGGATCACATTACATCCTCTGAAAGTGCAGTATCTCATTCATATTTAGATAATACTGATGGTGGCTCTGTATTCTACATTTTTCCACTGAATAAAAACAAGCTTCAAGGAAAGTCTGTAAATGACATCTCATCTGGTGAGCAAGAATACTCACATTATAATATTGGGCATATGAGCAATTCACGTCCTCGTGTCCTTTATGGAACTGGTAAGGGGGGTGTGGTGCTCAGCCAGCCATCATCGTTGCTTCGTTGTAAAACTGATGTATTTGTCAACCCCCTAGCACCAGAAGCACCACCGTTACCATCTGATTGGCTGACCAAACTTACCAGTTCTGAAAGTCCACCTGCTCATAGAGTTGTAAGATCAATAAGCTCACCATTAACATCTTCATTACTTGTTTGGGAAACTACAACCACCACAACAACATCTGCTTGCTTAAAGACCACTTCTAGCATTGATCTAAATATGCCACCTGATTTCACTTCAAAATCAGATTCTCTTGATAATCTAATACCACAGAGCGAAGATGACATGATCCCTCCACTTTCAATTACTTCACTAAGGAGTGACTCATGGGATTCAGTATCGGATCTTATTGACACTGCTTTACCTGTGCAACCACAACAACATTCCACTTGTCGACCCATAAAGTCTTTTCCACAATCAATTCAATCTACAATGTCATTGCCAGTATCTCCATCTAAATCAAGTTCTACACATGGACCACTACCAGAAAACCAAGTCCCACATACATCAGGGTCTTTGCATTCCCAATTGCCAAGATCTCCCAGGGGACCACATCATTCTGTTTTAGTATCTGCTTCAGCAAGCCCCAAATCTACTGTGTCACCCTCACCAAGACGTTCGGTGAGTCACTTAACAAAACTTATTGAAGCACAGTCAAGAACACCCATGACTAATCCAAAAGGACATTTGCATTCACCACAATCAAAACTATGTTTCTCCTCAACAAAAGTTACCACTCTACAATCATCATCTTCTGTGAAATCAACATCCGTTTCATCATTGTCTTCTACGAGATCATCAGTTTCAAGCCATAGAGCTCTATCAATAAGTCAGTATACAGTAGTGCCAACATACTCTGGTGCAAAGCAAAATCCGACATTCCTGCCAATAGTGAGCAAAGCAAGGAAAACATTGATGGAAGCAATACGAAAAGGTGTTCGACTACGCAAAACTCGAGAAACCATACCAAGAAATGTACCTAAGATTCCTCAAAATGAAGCAGATATGATTCGGATCCGTCGTAAAGCAATGGGGTATAATTCAGGAAAATCAGATAGTGAGACGGAATGGGTTGAAGATTCGTAAACAAATAAACCCATCAAAAGTAAAAACTAATTGTTGTCTTGTTTTGTTACATCTAAGTTATTTCTAATGTTCTATTTTTTCCCCTAGAATTATTTATAATTACACACACACATAGAATAGTCACATTAGTAATACACGCCTTTAATCCCAGCACTCCAGAGATCCTGAATTCGAGGATTCAGGATCAACAAAGCTATGCAGAGAAACCCTGTCTCAAAAAACAAAACCAAAATAAAACAGTGTGTGTGTGTGTGTGTGTGTGTGTGTGTGTGTGTGTGTAAACAATTTATCACACAGTATTTACAGTTAAGTTTCAGGCATGTATCCTTAATGGTTGGAAATTTTTGGCTACATAGACTTCTGTGGGTATCCATAGCTGCTGTGCGTTCATGATTGCAACAGTATTTTAGTTCTATTGCTGTGAAGAGACACCATGACAAAGGCAATTTCTAGAAGCAGGAGTTTTGATGCTTAATTTCATGCTCATGGTAATGAACATGGCAGCAAGCAGGCAGGCATGGTGCTGGAGTAGTATCTGGGAGCTTAAAACTAATCCATCAGAGAGACTTTGCACTTAGCATGGGTTTTTTTGCAGTAGAAACAGGACAATCTCAGTCTGACTCCCGCCCTCCCCTACCAACCACCCAACTAAAACCCGACCTATCACATATCCTTTCTGCAACCCCTGAATGGTGAGGCCTTCCATAGGGTGTCATAAGAGTATCGTATCCTTTGGGATAAGGCCTAGGCCCGCCCCCATGTGTCTTGGCTCAGGGATTATCCCTCTATGTGGAATGGGCTCCCAAAGTCCACACCTATGCTAGGGATAAGTACTGATCTACTACAGGACGTCCCATAGATTTCCGAGGTTTCCTCACTGAAACCCATGTTCCTGGGTTCTGGATCAGTCCCATGCTGGTATTCCAGCTATCAGTCTGGGGAGCAAGAGTTCCCAGATGATCAGGTCAGCTGTTTCTGTGGGTTTCACCAGCCTGGTATGGACCACTTTGCTCTCCACTCGTTCTTCTTTGGAAGTAGAAGCAGACACACACAGCATGGGCTTTTGAAACCTCGGATCCCATCCCTAGTGACATACCTCCTCCTCCAAAAAGGCCACACCTCCTAATCCGTACTAAAGAGTCCACCAGCTGGAAAGCAAACATGAACTTATGGGGGCCATTCTCTTTCAAATAGCCACAAATGGCTGTATCTTAAAATGATGTGTCACAACAATCCTCCCCTTCCTCCAGTTTTTAGATGCCTGCAAAAACTAATAGTGTGGGAAATGCTGACAGTTCAGGATGGAACCTGGATACATTGAACTACAGTTGTAAACATTCTCCTAGGCAGTGACTTTCCAAGAGCAGATAGCTTTTTCTTGGTTTGCCCATTCTCCTTTCAAATGAGTTAGAATTTAATTTTTGAGATATTTTTCTCTTTCACCCTCAGGGACCTCTTTTGGTCTCTTTCAAATCCATGGCCTCTATAAACTAAATATAGCCTGCACATGTTTTCACATATAACGATCTGGCACTGGACAACCTTTGATAAGAGGGTTCTTGCCTTTAGAGTATCTTTCCTATTCAATATAGAGTATTTTTCAAAAAAAATTATAGCCCTCTTTTGCCATATACCTTGGCTGTAACTTTAAAATCCTCAAGCACTTCCCTTTAAGAAGCTATACATTTTTATACCTTCCTGTGGATACATTTTATTTTCACTGCAGACCTGGATAAACAGAGGTAAGTCATAACTATACTAAGTCTGAATAAATCTTCCCTTGAAATTTCCATTAACAAAGTTCATTAACTTTAAATTCAGACTTTTCAAGACATGAAGACAATGCAGCCCAATTCTTTGTCAGAATATAAACTTAATGGCTCCTAGCACAATTTCTGACAGTCCATATTCCCTTCTAAAACTTCACAAACTGAGCACTCACTGTTTTTTTCTCAGCATTCTTCTCTTTCAGGCTCCCACCAGAATGAGTCATTAAATGTTCCATATAGTATACAAGGGCTGTTGTAGTTCAAAGTAACAAATTTACATACCAATCCCAGTTCCCTCTCCCTCCTGTCCTTCCCTTTCCCCCACCACCTCCCCATCCCACCCCCATCCACTCCTCAGGAAGGGAGAAGCCCATGGGGAATCAGTCTGTCACATCAATTGGGGCAGGACCTAGGCCCTCCCCTGTGTATCTAGGCGAAGTGGGTATCCCTCCATAGGAAATGGGATCCAAAAGCTCTTTCATGCAATAGGGATAAATACTGGTTCCACTGCCAGAGGCTCCATAGACTCTCCAGGCCTCCCAACTGACACACACATTCAGGGGCCCTGGCTTGGTCCTGTGTTGGTTGCCATGCTGTCAGTCTGTCTGGGGTCCATGAGCACCCTCTTGTTCAGGTCAGCTGTTTCTGTGGGTTTCCTCAGCCTGGTCTTGACCCCTTTGCTCATCATTCCCTCTCTACAACTGGACTCCAGGAGTTTGGCTCAGAGCTTAGCTGTGAACCTCTGCTTCTGCTTCCATCAGCTGTGCATGCAATTTTTTGATTATATTTTTTATTTTTACAATTGTAATCTTGTTCCCTCTCCCTCCCCTCCTCTCCTGTGCCCCCCCATCCCAAGCCCTTTCTGCTCCCCAGGGAGGGGGAGGTCTTCCACAGGGGATCTTCAAATTCTGTCATATCATTTGGAGCAGGCTGAGAGAGTATCCATCCATGAGGAGTGGGCTCCCAAAGTCCATTCTTGTACTAGGGATAAATACTGATCCACTACCAGAGGCCCCTTAGGTTGCCCAGACCTCCAAACAGATCCTCATTCAGGGAGCCTGGATCAGTCCTATGCTGGTTTCCCAGCTATCAGTCCATGAGCAACCCCAGACTTTTAACACAGTCTTCTCTACTACTCCAATACTTGTTTTATCAGTAAGTCTAGCATAGTTTCTACTTATACTCTAGAGGAGTTTCTGCTTCCCTTCAGGAGTTGCTAACTACTGGAACCAACAAAATGAACAGTGTGATTATTTTGTTTCAGGAAGGTGATCAAGTTCTTTGGAAATTAACCATTTTGTTATCATGTTATGTCCCTCAGTCCATAGTCAATTTGACATTTTTCGAAAAGAAACTTAATATTAAGATAAGTAGCAAATGCTAGTCAGTCTTTGTATGATATGCATTCCAGGCTTTTATTCTACCTATATCATTAGGTTTCAAAATATTTAAAAGTGAGGATCTTCACTTTTGTTACCACAAAGAAAGACTAATAATCATTGTTTGGAGCCATATATTTTGCTTATACTGGTAAGCTGTATAAAACGAATTATTTCTCTTTCTTCATCTATTTGTTTTTGCTCACTGTATATGTAAATAAAAGGTTCTGGAAAAACCCCACACATTTTGCATTGAGTGTTCTTTCAGGGTTGATTAACCGTTTAGAACCTCAGTGACTGGAGGAGTCCGAATGTTGCAGGTCTAGAGCCTAACTATAATTTATCTAGGCATTTCTTTGTGCACCTCTGTGTCTGATCTAATATCCCCATGACTAATTGATAAAACCTTTGGAATGCATTAATTTAAAAAAACCCTAGTTTCCACCAAGTAAAAGGCTAAGAACATAATCAGACAGTGTCTGAGGCCTGCCTAGATCTGAAATCTCTTCACTTTGCTCTAATATGCAGACCTGATACCTCTAGCTGTGTATTTTTGTCATTCTAGGATGAAGGCCTTATGAGCAGCAGCCTATTTATTCTTTTTTCTCCATTTTTTATTTGAATTAGAAACGAGATTGTTTTACATGTCAATCCCACTTCCTCTCCCATGCATGCCCCTCTTTCCTAGCTTGTTTCCTAGCTTCTCTGCCGGGGTGGATTGTAAGCTGGTACTCCTTTGCTATACATTTGAAATCCATATATGAGTGAGTACATACCATGTTTGCCATTTTGTGACTAGGTTACCTCACTCAGGATGGTTTCTTCTAGTTCCAACCATTTGCCTGTGAATTTCAAGATTCCATTGTTTTTTTTTTTTCTGCTGAGTAGTACTCCATTGTATAAATATATCACATTTTCTTTATCAATTTTTCAGTTGAGGGGCCTCTAGCTTGCTTCCAGGTTCTGGCTATTACAAATAATGCTGCAATGAACATCATTGAACAGATGTCCTTGTTGTATGAATGTGCTGCTTTTGGGTATATGCCTAAGAGTGGAATTCCTGGATCTTGTGGCAGACTGATTCCCATTTTCCTGAGTAATCACCATACTGATTTTCAAGGTGGCTGTACGAGTTGGCACTCCCACCAGCAGTGGTGGAGTGTTTCCCTTTCTCCACATCATCTCCAGAATAAACTGTCTTTGGTGTATTTGATTTTAGCCATTCTGATAGGAGTAGCATGGTGTTGATTTGATTTGCATTTCCCTGATGGCTAAGGATATTGAACACTTTCTTATGTGACTTTCAGCCATTTTAGATTCCTCTATTGAGAATTGTCTATTTAGATCTGTACCCAACTTTTTAATTGGATTATTTGGTGTTTTGGTGACTGGCTTCTTGAGTTTGTAAATTTTGGAGATCAGCTCTCTGTCAGATGTGGGGTTGGTGAATATCTTTTCCCAATCTGTGGGCTGCTGTTTTGTCTTGGTGACTGTATCCTTTGATTTGCAAAAGCTTCTCAGTTTCAGGATGTCCCATTTAATAATTGTGGATCTCAATGTCTGTGCTGCTGGTGTAATGTTCAGGAAGAAGACTCATGTACCTATTCGTTCAAGGGTATTTCTTTCTTTCTCTTCTAATAGGTTCACTGTGGCTGGATTTATGTTGAGGTCTTTGATCCATTTGTACTTAAGTTTTGTGCATGGCAATATACATGGATCTATCTGCAGTCTTCTACATGCCAGCATTCAGTTATGCCAGCACCATTTGTTGAAGATGCTTTCTTTATTCCATTGTATAATTTTAGCTTCTTTATCAAAAATCAGGAGTTTGTAGGTGTGTGGGTTATTATCA